AAAGGGGGTGTCTATTTACTTGTGACCACGCTGTGTATGCTTGTACCTAAATTCCAGAATAATCCCTTCCCCTAGGGAAATTACAGATTTTTTTACCCCCTTTTGCAGGCTTTTTCAAGTTATTTTACCCCCTTTTCTAGGGAATTTAAATATTTTACTCCATTATGAAGGGATCGTTATGATTTCAAGACCCCATAATTCAATTTCTTGGGAATGGGGCTTCAAGTATCTTTGTTTACAACATTCTTTGGGCCTAGATAACCTTGCAAAATATAAACCTTTTCCCCAAGAAAAGTAGTAAGCACATGTGGATCTCAGAGCCTGGAGTGGGGGCCAGAATCTACCACATACAGCATAGCATGCAACTAAAGTTTTGTTAGTATCTATGCCATGCATTTTGGGACAGCTTGAAGGTGCTTGGCAACTTGCCAATTACTGTATATTACATTAAAGTTGTCTCTCGGAAGTTTGTGAGTATATATGATCACAGTGAACGCGATCTCATGTTACAGATGTGATAGCAGTTAATCATGTGATACAGAATGAACGAGCCCTATTTATCAAATTGATACTATATATGTTGAGTAGAGACTACAACAATGATAAGTAATATATAATTGTAAAAACATTTTTAATTTCTCATGCAGTTAAATATATAAAGGCATATAACATTGTGTTAATCACTATCTGTGTTTTACTACAAAATGCGTTTAAAAAAGATCATCACATTAAGCTATCATTTCCCTAATGTACTATACAGTAATTGGCTTTCTTTTCTACTTCAGATGTTTATTCTGAGATCTCATGGTGACATATCACAGCTCGAAATTAACAGTAGTCTGTTCACCATTGGCCACCAAAAACACCATCAGACTATTCAAAAGGTTTTCCTGGTTGGTCCGTAGGGCCACTAAAAAATTGACTGTGAAAATTTAAATTTAAGTGATTATTTCCCCTTCAAGATAAATAATGTTTATGTCTTAAGACAAGTATGAGAACAACAGAGTTATCGTGAGAATTATTTGCAATGTTATTCTCAAATATCAGGTCAATTTCTCGCCGTTATCTGAAATGGTCGGATGCATTGACACAATGGCACGTGCAAACTGAGACCCTATCTGAGCTCGCACTCAGCCAGCTCCGACTGGGTACAGTGTGTCAAGTAGCACAGACTTTTTTGCATTTGGGAACAGCTTGAAGCTGCTTGGTAATTAACATCTTCACACAGTGGGAAAACTTTTGGCAACTTACCCACCATTGTCTCTGAGTAGTTACCGACAAATCACCTATACCAAAAAGAGATGGTTAGGCATTTATCACCTCACAGAGCAACAACATTTTGTATAGGCTGGTGGAGCATTCAAGCTTCCCACAAGCAGCAATAGGATTGAGTTAGAAGCCATATATATCAAGTACTGTTCTGCATTGCTGATAGCAATGGACTACAAGTATATAGTGCCATCAAAATACTATCTGTAACTAACTCACAGCCAGTACTGTATTAAATTAACCCTTTGACATCCAGCACCATTTTTAAAATTCCTTTCAGTGCAGGTAACTTCATTACATTAAAAACTTAATTAAACCACTTTAATATCAATGTATTTCAATGAAATTATTATTATCAAGTATGTTATAATTAAAAGTTTTATATTATCTAAGTTATTATTTTGAAATAAACCTCTGAAACAAACAATTAAAACTTCAGTTTTCTATCAGGTGACACAAGTGCAGTTGAAATATCTTAGAGTTGGTTGCTTATTTTTCGGAGGTACTGAGACAAAACCTCTACAACAATCTAGACAAGCTTCTACAAGTACAAGGTTGAAGTTTAAACTTTATTTAAATTTTAAAGCAGCTATAACATTCTAAGAAAGAGCATATTTCTCTTTCCTTTCAGATAGCTGCCACACTCATATTCCAAAGTAATCTTACTCAGCAACAGTCCTTTCTAGACTTGAATGGCATACTTATAACCAATAGTAAAAGCATTTTTCTATCTTAATTTTTCCAGGCTAGAAGAAAAAGTAGGTGATAAATTATTTTTCAAATGACAAGCAAACTGCTGCTAAATCCATTGTTGAGATCATTGTCCCCCATGCTTGGCTATTTTTTCTCACATTATACATATTAGTTTGATAAACACATAGGCTTTATGTTTGTATATTAGTTAATTATGTATTATTTGTGTTTCGAAATTCATATTTAAAAAATTAATGATTTTTTTTAATATTATTCAAAGCTTTGCCTCATTGAACAAGTCTTTCCTAACAATGCGAGTGCAAGCTATATCTTGCCAGAGGCTAAACTGTCTCTGTCGATGTTAACGTTATATTGCACTGCAGGCACCTGTTGATGTGTATCAACATAAATAATGAAAGAACAGGAAAGGAAAATAAAACAATAAAATAAAATTATTAGTGAAAATGTAAAGATGGGAAATTATACATACGACCCAAAGATGATATTTTAAGACTATTCTACGAAGGTAAGTACATATTTCCATTTCTTAATTTTAAACATTTTATTGCACTGTATACTGATGATAATAGCTGGAGTTAGTGATATAGTAGAGAAAATGGAAAATAATATATAAACATTTACCTCAAAAACTTTTGATATTCATTTAGATGTTCTAGAGATTATGAAATGTGAAAACTGTAAAAATAATAAATAGTATTTTTATACTCAACATGAAAATCACCTTGTGAGTGTGAGTGCAACTAGCCGCATTGAATAATGAATTTTTAAAAGAAATAGTAGAAAAAAACAAAATTAAAGGAAAGTTTTTGTCAATTTTCAAACAATTTCATTCACCAGTTTTGTTTTTTGGAAAGAAATATGGCAAGAGTGACATTACCTATTAACAATCTTCATTGCCAGTAATCATTGGGTTAAGAATTGTTGGTTTCTTGATGGATGGTAAAAAACCAAAGCAACTGCATGGTAAGAGCCACCACCAGGATTTACATGAAAGGACATGAAGGGGTAAAGCTGAATGAGGAAGCTGACAAGCTTGCACGAGAAATTCTGCACAACTCTACTAGCAGGATACTTAGTTTTCTGCACGAGTAAGGGAAAAGTGGCAACTAGGGGACACCTTTATTAACATTCATAGGGAATGAGACTGCTGGAAAAGAAAGCACTATACGGTATAGCCAAAAAAAGCAAAATATGGAGAATCAATAAAACAATATGTAGCCAGAATATCAATGATAACATAAGTAAAAGAAGTCTCCACATGAAGGATCAGCACCTAGTGACACAACACCTGGGATTGTCACTCAGCATTCAACTTATAAAACAACTTGTAAGAACATATACTAATTATTAATAGACAAACAATCATTCACCTGTTTACAAACACAGAAAAACTAACAAGTTTAATAAAGTATAACACAATAAAAACACATAAAAAATATGCAGCTCTGAACAGGTTTATTAAGCAAACAAAATCCAAAATTAATCACAGGTAAAAAATAATTAAAATCCAATGCATTAAAGACATTATAGTAAACATAGGGAAAAACAACAAGTAGAGCCTTCACATCTGGAATTTTTTATAAAAGGTGTAATAAATAATAAAGCAGCTTTTTTCATACTGCTTTGTTCAATTTGATTTAATATTTATGTATATGTATTACTGAGAGAACTATTCAATATTACACATTTTAATCACATTTACAGCTTGATAGTACTAATGTATGATCATAAATATATTTTGTATTATAAGATGAATATTAAGATCTATTATGTTGTCCAATGTACATAAATACACAGGTAACATAATAGTTTTTCCTTATGGATCTTCCTATTTGAAGTGTGTCTGTAGCATTCATTAAATGCCAAAAAATAACTTTTATGTAAATTTCTATGGCCAGAAATTTCTGCTTTACTGTAGATTTAATAACAAAAATTAAAATGGAAACTTACCATGAATTTTTCTACAGAAGCTTCTTTTTGTCTCTGTTCTTTTTTCAAATCTTCTATTAACTGCTTCTGATCTAGAAGTATTCTAGAAATAACAGTAATACAGTGTTATGATAATTTTTAACTAATGCACTTATATGTGAAAACAAAAGGAGACAGCTTCCATTTCCATATAAAAACACAAACATATTTGTAATAAGTGGGATATTTATTAACAAACAATTCAGTGGTAACTTGCTTCTTTATATTAAAACATAAAACTGATTGCAATTAGCAAACATTTTCACCAAATATTAATATTTCAAGCTCAAAGACGATAAAAACTTCTAACATTACATGTGTGGTATTCTTGGTTTAGAGTGATTTAAGTGGAAATAACCTCAGAAAAATTTATGTGTATTTTATAGAGAGGCATGCTGCCAATGTGGTGTCAAAATAAAAATCCATCAAATGCTGTCATGTCTACTAACAAACAAGACTAACTTTTTTATAGAATAGACAAGTTGAACCCACAAAACTCTGTAAAAATAAATTGGTTTTATTCACTTTACTTTGGGAGGGGAGAGGGGAGTTATATATGATAAACATTTCTGATGCTGAATATTTATGTCAACGTAAAATGTTAAGAAAATGTAAAAACAATTCTGATTGCCAATCACAAACAACAAAATGTATGCAAAAAAGCAACAGAGTGAGACTCCACGAGAAAGTGAAAAGCCTTGACAGCCAACGAAAAAGACAAGCTATATACTATATACTAGTTCATGTAATACACAAATTTCACGAGGTTTAAACTTTTCTTCTTGTTTCTTTATCACGTAGAAAATAGAAAACATTCGTAACTACTTTAAGCAAAACAAAAACAAATGAAGCTGTAAAACAACTCAGTAAAATTGGCTTTTGAAGTACAGTTTAACAATAAGAAACCAAATATGTCAGTTTGACAAAAATTGCAAAGAGATCTCTAACCAACAACCTGGAAAATATTGCAAAGGAAATAGGAACCTATTATAATAGTTTAGAGTTGGAATATACATGAAATCATAATAGCCTTTCACCAAATTTGAACTCAACATAACAAACTTAAGTATAAATTTGACCAGAATTACATGGAACCCTAGAGATGTTATCTCAGTATTTAAAATGCAGAGATGGACACAAAATAAAGAGTAGAAAATACATTAATTAAGTGTGATTAATCTTAGATTCCATTACCTGTTAAGACTATTTGGTTAACCTTTCCAAAGTATTATTATTATTATTATGATAATTACAAAAGTGAATATTTTCTAGCTTTAGATGTTGCACTTATTCTTACAGATTGAAAAATCTTAATATTACATAAAGTTAAACACCACAGTGTCAATTCTAGCTACAAAATTAAATAATCTCAAACCATAATTTGATTATGAAGGGTACAAAAGTGTTTATGTAAACAAAATCTACAATTAGCTGTTTTCCACACATACAGTTCACCTAGATATTATTCCTTATCATCAGTCGAGTTGGGCTGAGAACAGATGATATAGCTGGCAACTTCCATGCTCAGCTGTTCCTCATATCAGAAATTAGATTTCATAATTCAAACAATACCACCAAAGACTGAACAACACCCAAATGATAACTGTGGTACAAACTAAAAACCTAGTTTGGTGTGAGGGGTTACACAAAGGTGTGTGTGTGTATGTAAAACAAATCTACACAAAAACAATATTATAGTTTTGAAGAAGGGTTGTTAAACTATAAATATATTTTTTATTTTTATGCAAAATTTGTTTTAGTAAAAAAACAGCATCATTATGTATTAAATCTTCACTCTATGCTCCATTCTGAAAAAAAAAAACAACTGAAGAAATACAAAATGACAAACAAAATATTTAATATTATAAACACTTTTCTATACTAATTTCTTAATCATCTAATAGTTGTGTACTTAATAAAAACTATTTTAACCTGTTTGTATTTTCTAGCTGAGTTTCTTGATTTTTAGAGTGCTCCACCTGATGTTTGATTTGTTGTAAATCTTTAGGAATAATTTCAATCTAGAAATAACAACAACCATACAACATAAACATATAGAAGAGGAAACAGTACATTATCAAATGGTCAAAACATGCAAATAAATATACTTTGTTTATAAATTCTCAAAGAACTTTCTATAAAGCACAAGACAACTTTATTTCAGTTTTTCCCGTATTAACTTAACTCAACACAGGATCAGCAAAAGCTGGTTTTAACCGTCATTATCATGGTTAGTAACCTATATGTACACCTAATTCTAGTTATTAACTAGTTACTAATTTTTTTCAATTACCAGATACATTTAATATTACTAACTAGTTTTATTGTATGTTTTGGCTACTAATCCATTGCCATCTTCAGGAAAGTCCTGAGAAGGACAACTTCACTGGTGATACTACTTGGAATTTAATTGATGTTGGGTCTTTCTGGAAAAGAGGTTGGTGTGGTGTCTGCTTCTCTGGGATCTCTTCCATTAAAAATTGAATCAACTAGCCTATTAGAATGCATTCAAGAGTGGTGGATTTCAGGTTTTGGCAATATTGAATGTGGTATCAGTCTGATAAGTGAAAATGGAATATTATTTTATCTCATGTGTGGATCATACCTATTATTTTAGCATTATTCCAATTTACCATATGGTCTTCTTCTCTGCAATGATGGGCTATTGTAGACAGATCAGTATTAAAGTCATGTATATGTATATTATGCTCCTAAATTCTAACTCTAGTTGGCCTTTTTGTTTATCTAATGTACTGAAGGTCACATTCATAAGGAATGTAGTAAATGGTAGTCTTGCTTTCCGCTGGGATTTTAGGTGGTTTGATGTGTACCAACTATGTTATGGCTACTAAATACTATTATGAATTTAAGTTGTTCATTTTCAGAAAGATCTCTGGACATAGGGGAATATTGCTGCAAGTCTGTAACTTTCTTCCTGCTTATTTTAGGTGTTTATCTTCTTTATTATTTTTCTTAATCAAGTACAAGCCGAAATACACATCAACTGACAGGGAATGTTTAAATTTAATTAAAACAATGTAAGTTTAACAGCAATCATATATTTCAAAGTAATAACTTGAACATCAACTTTAAGTCAAAATTTAAAAATTATAACAAAGCTTCTTCATAAACAACATTTACAGTTTACTTTCCATCTACCAACAAATAAAGATTTTGAGGTGATCCCACCCTTGAACACCCTACATATCATCGACCATGAAAAAAGCATGGTTGTTTGAGAAACAATCCAGCATCTTTCATACTCTGACCATGAACCCCTTTAGAATATTCAACATTATTTGAGATTGACTCAATAGGCTGGGAGTAATTAACCAACACGCTTTATAAAATAGAAATACGGTTAAGTTCAATTTTGACTCCCTCAGCACATTCCCCATAGTGTTTGTTTGCACCATAACTGCTCCGAGTCTATTGGGTCAATCTCAACCAAAATGTATATGTAACACAAACACAAATTTCATCTTTATATATATATAGATTCCAGATATCTAGTATTAATGAGAGTTTTAGTGATGTGTCTTTTCTTTTTTCTTCTTAGCATCTTTGGTATTATAAATTTTGTTTATTCTGGGACATAATTAATCTATGATGCCCATCTTTACACTGTTGGGATGGTTTGATTACACCTAAGATATTACACATATCTTTGGATTTCCTGTAAACTCCTGTTATATGAATTATGTGTTTTAGGTATCATCATTAACACTAATTAGGAATTTGACTTAGGAAATTATATAGGCCATATGAGTAGTGAATTACAACAATTACCATAAGTACTTGTTTTGAACACTCTTGAATGCAAAACACTAAAAATACAAAAAACAACAACAAATGTTTCATATTCACTCTGATCTTTCTATATCCAAATAATAGCAATAGGTACCGAACAAAAATTTGTCATAATAATTAGATTTGAGTTTTTCTACTTTTAATAGATATCTGCTTTTCAGCAGAATTTTCTGAAATTGTTGTTTATTAGTATGATAATTGATCACTGTCAAGTACACAAAGTTTATAGGCTAAAATGTACTGTAACATAACTTATTTTTAAATTTTGAATAATTATCTACCAATGGATAGTTAGTTTGTTCTACAGAATTAAAACGTGTAAGTGCAATGTTATAGTTTTGAGTGTGTTAGGAAATTGTATTAAAAGATATTCAGAGGTGCCCAAGTGTATATTAATAGTAGATTCATTAGATTTAATTAGGAAACCTCAGGTAATTCATCTTTATTAATGACTGGTTCATGTTTTAGAGTGGTGACATTTTGAAGGAAAAATTCTGGTTGTTTTTAGCCATGTTCGTGCACTTGAAAAGAGATGTTTTTTGTGTTATTTTATCATTGTGTCTAATTTGCATCCTGTTTAACTTACATAAAAGACCAGGCAGTTGTTGCATTGTATTATGTAAATGTTTCCTGGAGAGTTGGTTTCAATGTATAGTTGAAACCTACCTTGAGGGGGGGAGGAGCTTATGTGCTGTTTACATTTAGAAAGTTTAATTTGATTGAACTTCATAATTGCAAAATTGAACATCATCATATAAACAGATACTGCTAAGCCTGTTATTTAATACTAAACGAAATAAGAAAAGAAAAGAGCAAACTGCAAGAGATATACATGAATTAATTGAGCATTACTTTTTGAATTAAATGGTTCACATTATCAGCTATATGGCCAACTTTTACCAGCCAGTATACTAGTATTCTTCATGATATTAACCCCCCCCCCCAAAAAAAGTGGTTAAATTTGTTTGTGAATTTTCACTGGTTTAAAAAGCCCTCAAATTTCTTTTCATGATAAATATATGAACCCTCACACACACACATTAACTTGCATATTTGTAATCTGTATATTAATATTAAGTTAAGTCATTACAAAAGTTGGAATGGAGTATGCATATAAATATGCAAGACTGCCATCAAACAGGAAACTTTTCTAACAAAAAAACTATATGATTTTTGGCTCATTACTGCAAAGTTTTAATACAATTAAAAGAAAATTATTGTATATTTATGTTACTTATACAAAAGAACAGAAAAATCAACACAAAATTGTGTTTTGTTCTACATAAGACATAGTATGTACAACTGTTTAAAGTTTAATTAAAACAATCTTTAGTACGCTTAAGTCTAGAAGTTGCAAAAAAGTTATAAATAATGGCTCTCTCATCATATTCTTCAGCACTAAATATGTATAAGTTTTTTTTATTTACTTTATCTGAATGAAATAAATAACAAGCAACAGATACTTGGTTACCTTTCAACACAGCTAAAACAGCAAGGACTTCATAAACCTTGAGACTAATTGTCATGAAAACTAATTCAGAGGAATACCAACATGCACATGACTAGATTAAGTTATTGGTCCACTGTCATTACAGATGTGTTCATTTATCAAATTGTATTCATGAAGGTATCTATGTAAATATATGTAATGTCTACTTTTATGCAGTTTAATATTTAATTACTTACAGAAAATAGGAAGAAACTGCATAAATAATTTATGCATAAACTGCCATAATAGGGTCTTGTATAAAGAACATTAACATCTCTCCCAAACAAGTATTGTATAGTACATTAGACTGGATAATTAATTCATGTTTGTGAAATAAAAAAAAAGTAATCATAATCACTTTTTTTGGTGATTTCCTACCTGAGATTTCAAATGAGAGATTTGTTTAATATCTTTTTGGTGTCGTTCTTCATATTTTTTATTGTTCTCTAACGCATCTTTCAAACGATTTTTCAGTGTTTCAGTTTCCTTATACAGGGATTCAAGTTGCCCAAGACTTTCCACTGAAAGTATCTAAATGTAAAAAAAGAAAGTTATTAAACTTTATGATTTGGTAAAATTTCCATTATTGTGAAAAGCCTAATTTCACCAAAAAATGTATGTGCACATTTAGAAACTAACAAAGCAACATCTCATTGCGAAATATTGAACATAATCATAATTTTAGAGGGGCTGGAAGATTAAGACTGATTAACTCTTTCAGCATGAGCTCGGTCCCTGGGACCGACCTCGTAACCATTTTGTGATTGTTATAGTTTTCATGCTATTACTATTAAATTAGTACGTGTATGTTAATGAAATTTGGCAGATTATCAGTAAACATAACAATGCTTTCATATGCAAAATATCAGATTTTTTTATTAGCCTTAAGGTTTTAAAAGCAATGTTTTTCTCATGCTTTTTTATCTTTTGGCATGTTGGACAGGCAACATGCGAAGTAATTTTCATTTTAAGATTAAAACACTTTTATGTACTGCCCAGATAGTTATCAAACATTTCTTAAGAAAAAAACTTTACATTTTATCTGTTATTTTCAGTAATTAATCTCTGTATGGGTTCAGAAAATTTGACTGATCTCGTAACCACCATAAAAAATTAGAAAATAAATATAAATTATGCCTCTTTCATTCTAGAATGACAACAAATTATAATGCAAAAACATAAATGTTCAAACTAAATAGCTTAAGTCTCATAACATTATACATTTATATATATTTATTATTTTTATTATATTGACCTTTCAGCTGTGCCTGGCTAACAATACAGAAGTTACAATGATTGATGTATCACACATGCTATCATGTTATTGTATCCAATAATATAAAACTAACCTTTAGTCTTCACAAAGCGACTTGTCTTGGCTGTGTTTTAGTAGACTATTATTTTGTAAAATACAGTCACATTTTAATTATTATACATTATATATGTATATATAGATTATTGCTATTTAGAAATAAATTCATAAAACTTATTTT